GGCGGAGAAAGGAAAAGTTAATAAAAAATAACCCAAAAGAAAACAAACAAAGAAGCTTTCATTGTGCCTTAATTGTTTAAAGAAGCTTATCTATTTTGGTGGGTTAAGATTATATTAAAGCTGCACTGACATAATGGTTTTTTATCAGTATTTCAGTAAGGAATGAGTTATTTCGAAACTTTCAAACTAAAGAAGACAGAGGCAATTAAGAAAAAAAATTAAATACACTTTAACAAGAAGCTGAATAAAACTTACATGAGTCTAAGTAAACACAAAATCCAAGGACGCAGTTTCAGCAAAGGTAGTGCTTAATCAGAAAGCTGAAGAAAGTCAAGGCACATGAGGAAAAACATTAGTAATGCATACAAGAAAGCAAAAAGATGGACTCACAAACAACACAGGAGAAGTAAAGAGTTGCCAACATGTAGAGAAATTACAAATACAGGCATTGAAATCAATAGAAACACAAGAGCTTGTTGTATTTTAAGAATAAAATATTAACCACAACTGTCAGCTACCCACTGAGCCTCCAAGTAGACACACCTATGATATTACATTAAGCAAGTTATCACATTCTCAAGATTGTCAGAAAACTTGAACTCTAACTTTGACCTTGAGGTCAGCACAGGGTAAAAACTCAAACACTTTAAAACACATACTAACAACAGTCTTGTGTAATAGAATAGAACAGCCCTTTATTATCATTGTACATGCACAACGAAAAGGAGCAGCACAGTGGAGGATCACCTGATTGTCACAGTATAGCACAGTGAAAGGTTGCCCTGTCGGAGGACCTGCCAGTGCTGGTGTTCTTTGGAAAAAGCCAATCAAGCTGCACAGCACTGGTCTGTGAGAAGAAGTCTCATTAAACGTCCTTGTTGCCATCCTCACGTAGTCTGTTTCTGACAGTCTGGTAAAAAAACATGCACATATTTTTCTGGGTTGTCTTGTCACCGGTGCACCTGTTGTCACTTTAATTTGCAGCAAACACATGCACTTTCATTCGCTGGAGGTCACTCTGTAGTGGTCTGGCAGTGCTCATCTTGTTCTTCCTCGTACAAAGGAGCAGATACTGGTCCTGCTGCTGGGTTGATGCCCTCCCGTGGCCCTGTCCAGCTCTCCTCACATAACAGCCTGTCTCCCGGTATCTCCTCCTCACTGTTGAAACTGTGCCGGGAGACACAGCAAACCTTCTCGTGACGGCACCTATGGATGTGCCATCCTGAAGGAGCTGGACTACCTGTGCAACCTGAATGTGCAGGTGCTGTCTCACGGTATCAGCGGTGACGGGAACAAAAGTAGCAGAAAAATCAGCCGGGAGATATAAAGAGAAATAGCGATGGCCTGTGGTTACCACCTGCATAACCATTTCCTTTTCCTGGGCTGTCTTGTTGCCTCTCCAGTGCACATGTTGATACTTTCATTTGAACCAAAGCAGGGGAAAAAAAACCAAAGGTTTCTGTTTCCTAGCTGGACCGATATCCCTGAGGTTTAACTGACTTTGTGTTATACAATAATGGTCAAGTGTTCCCTTCTTCTTTTAGAGCAGTGCATTTATGTTAAGTATATTCATTCTATCCTTGTGTTTTACAACCCTGGATTTATTGTTTTGAATTACTCTCACTGCCCCTGTTAAGCTCTCCCCACAGTGAAAAGCTCCAAATATCAGACAAATTCAGTAGCTTAGTGTTGAGCACAGTGGAACATTTAGCAGCTAAGAATTTGGTAATTTATCCCCAGGGTTGGTGGAGACCCAAACAGAGGTAAAAGTGTCCAATACTATGTTCAAAGGCCACAAGTGGTTATTCAAGTGTGTTTACTTCCATTCCATTGATTCTATATAGTGCCAAATCACAACAACAGTCATCTCAACAATCAAACAATGCCCTACGAGCATGCATTTGGAGACTTTGGGAAGAAAAAACTCCCTTTTAATAGGAAGAAACCTCCCGCAGAACCATTTAAAAAACAAACAAACAAACATACTTTTATACCTCTATATTAGCCTAAAGCTGGAAGAATGAAAGCTTGTATCACCAGAAGTTTCTTTGCTAAAATACTACATGCTGTTTTATTAAAAAAGAAAGGTAAAATAATGGAGTTGCCCATACTAGCAATATGGTTAAAAACTTTTATCCTTTAAATGCACTTAAAGTCTGTTTTTGAAAATTACTTTTTCCTTCCAGTAGTTTGTTTACCCTGTTTTTAATCTCCATTCTTAATACGTGTGCATATCTTCGCATATCAAATCCATTTAATGCCCAATCTCTCAAATGGGCACAAAACATAATTCCTGCACTGATGCATGATTTGCCTTGAACACTGATAAACTGCACTACAAACAGTTTATGTTGTAACCTTCGTAATTGCTCTTCCGTATGTACAGATTTTTCAATAAAACCGTAATTACGCAGCAAAATCCCAGACGTCCCATTACATGCACACAGGCTGTCACTTTGTGGGACGATGATTAATCACACAAGTAGTTGCCCGTTTTTAAATGCATCCTTAATGCTTTCTTTTGCCTCGGGGGCTATATTTCACTTCTTTTCCACGTTATGAGTTTTGATGAAGGTATAAACTTTTTACGTGGCTCTTGGACCCTGGATACGAGGACAGCCAGTTTGTGGTGTATTATTTATTAATGTGCTAAAGTGTGCGTGTGTGTTTGTGCTGTGGGATGACTCTGTGCCCATCTCTACAGGAGTCAAACCCAAAAAAAAGGTTCAGGTGTTGTTGTAACTCAACCTGCTTCCCCTCCCACTGCACAGAAAGCACACTAATAGATTCAGGATCAGGCACCTCTAACATTTTCCCGTCGCACTTCTACCTGTTGTCCATTTTATCTTCACCATCTTTATCTGCCCACCCTTATCCTCTCAGAGGAAAATTGATTTTGAATGCCTCTCTCGGTCTCCGCTCTCTTTCTATATTTTAGCCCAATTTCCAGGCTTTTACGATTTGTCTTTCCCTCTTAACTGTGTCATTCTACTTTCAGCCTCACTTTGTTCATCCCTTTCACAGCATGGTGCGGGGAGTACAGCTGGGCATTAATCTGCCACTGATGAGCCCCACTCACCAGACAGCTCATGCCTGCTTATCAGGCGTTGGGTGATATTAGGACAGTTGCCAGTGCCACAGTAGAATAGCAAAAGTACAAGGCGAAGGCTTTGGATAAAAACATTGTCACAGCAGAGAAGCTTTTTAAAACTGCACACAAAAACTGATATGACAGCGTTTTGAATTCAGAGTGGACACGTTAGCTAAACTAGTCTGAAAACAGCAGTACATTACAATTTCCTGTTTGAGAGCTGAGAGGACATGAACAGGTTTGAGAGGGAAGAGCATCAAAAGTGGTTAAAGAATAAAAATGGATAGGAAATAATGACAAAAATGGTGAAAGCAAAACATGCAAGAGCCAAAAAAGTGAAAAGTATGCATAAGTAAATTAATTATTTACCTTTTTATCCTATAAGACAGTTAATGTAGCTAGCTAAAATTCCAAATAAGTAGTTATTGTTAGCTAAAACTAGGGCAGCCGCTGAAATTATTAGCTAACAGTATGGATTAACAGTTATGGATAAACTACTGAGCGCGCTAACTAAACAGTGGATAGCTATCAGAGGTTTTCATGGCAAAAGTAGCGATCGATTGGTACAAATAGTAAGCTAACAATTATCCCTGAAGCTAGATACAAGTCTCACAACTTAGAGAGTATAGGTATGCATGTTGGTCAAGATTTACCTGCCATGTTGGATGTAATACAATCACTGCTTGCTTTGGAAAAATGTATATTCTCCAATTAGTTGGCAGTGGAGGTTGTTGGCTTTCGTCAGGGAAAACTGTCTACAAAGATGTTGCACCAAAAACCTCCTAGTGACTGCTTTGGTTGCAAGCAGATTGCCAGTGTTACCTGTTCTTTTTATCTGCAAGTACTTGCTAACTACTAGCCGAGCAGCAGCAAAAGTGCAGAAGGTTCACCTTCAAAGTAAAAGTTGTGCCTCTGTGCTGCAGCCAACATGTTTCAACAGGTGTAACTTTTACTTTGAGGTAAAACTCACACCTGTTGCACTTTTGACAGTTTCCCTAAAACTCTGAGAGTAGCAAGATAATGTTCATAGCCACTTCTGTCACTTCTATTCAAATGACAACCACAGCAATCTGCCAGGTTTTGTCAACCAGCTGGGAAATATACAAGAAACAGGTGGGTTGCTAGAGAAAAATGGGGGTCGCTGACTGGTCTGTAGTATGTGTGTGACTGAGACTTCAGCAATCATTTACCCAGTGACTGCAATCAACCTCCAGCAAACACTTGCACCCAGTCAGGGAATAGATCATTTTCCCCTTCTGACCAGTGGCTGCTGCTCTTAAACCATGTCTAACTGGGGCCGTATTCACTTGATCCGACATCGCCATCATGACGCGTCCAAAATGGCCTGGAAGTTAACGTGATCAGTTAGTTAGTCTGCAAATCTCAATAAAAGATGGATGTAGCTACCTTGATATCATCTTTTCTTTTGTGAAGTCCCTCTAGTCCCTCTTGCTCGTTGAGCAATATCTAATGAGCATTCACCAGATAAGCCTCTCTCTTTGTGACACATAGAATCCCCCAAATTTAGAAAATTGTCTTATTATTTTATTTTGAATGACCCGAAATCAGTGACTGAGATTATAAACTAATCAGCGTTTACAGAGACAGAGCCACAGCTGTCTCTTTAGTTCCTACTGGGCTAACTGACTTCAACACAAAAAGTTTATCTCAAGGACAGAGAGCTGGTGGTTGTTATAGTCAGACATGTTCAGTTTACCATGCAACCAATTAGTCAAAATGTAATTTATAGAAAAAAAATGTAAAAATGTGTTAATAGCCACATGCTAATCAGATTAGCTGCTGACATGTGAGACACGTGAATCTAATTGCCTCGCTGCAATAATCTCATCTTTACTTCTCACTTTGTTAGAATTGTATTCTACATGGAAACACTGACAGCATCTTATGATTCTTTTTTTTTTTTTTTGCAGTTGTGCCATGATCAGTTTTGACCAGGGACATGACTTCAGGGCTTCAGCTACATTTCCAGGTTTTTTTGAAGCCATGCAGGTTTAAGAATCTTCCCTGTCTGCTTTACTTTACAGACCAGGATGTCCAGCTATCATGCTTTCTGTTGTAATATTTAAAAAACACTTACCTAAATTAATGGGGAGAGAGCTCGTCAGTGGTCCCAGAAGAAGTGCTTAAAAAGTTTGCCTTCACTTCGGACATTTACATTTACAGAAAGTTATCCTTCTGCTAGATGTGTGCAAAGTTAACACTGAGCTTTATTAACTAAGAGCAGTGAACAAATGTCATGTAAATTTATGCTACAGGTACAGTAAGCCAAGGCTAACAATACATAGGCTCCAGGCTCCAGCTGAAAGTGTAGTGAAGTTCTACTGTGTACAGCAGCACAACTGGTTCCTGTAATTCCCAGCTCAGCTTTTGATTGGCTCTTTGGGACAGAATTTCTCCTATAGATTTATGACCAGACTTCTTTTGGGTGCAGTGAGTCCCTTTTAAACTGTCTCCACTACAACTGAAAAATGCCATTCATCCATCTGGGTCGCAGAGGTCTAAGCAGTCCCTCACCTCCTCCATCTCCCTGCCACCCCCTTCAGCTCTTCTGGGCTAAGCCAGTCGAAAGATGTAACCTCTCCAGCTTTTCCTGGGTTTGGCCCGGGGCCTCCTCCCAGCATAACATACCCAGAACATCTAACCTCAACTCCTTTCAGGCTCCATGTAATTGCTAAAGTGGTCCATATCTAGTTTGAAATGAGTTTAAATAAGAGGCTGTGTTGCTGAAGGGGTTTTGAGTCTATCTGACAGGGTTATGGGAGTCAGATCCCAACCATCTGGCTGTCTAAACTCTTAAAACTTTATTATCATCTTTTAGTCACAGAGCAAATATATCACTGTGAGATCAAGCTAAACATGAGGTGGCACTTTTCACCCACGGTATCTGTTAGATTTTTCAATTCATTTAATCAAGTGCATTTTTAGATATCTCCAGACGTTAATTGCGCTACATAGCAACACAAGCTCGCCGTATCCCGCTCGACAAATAAAGACGTCTGCTGGGCAAATGTCAAGCGGTCACAGTTTACCCTTCCATCTGCATTTCCCTCCACCTTTCCATCCATCCTGGGTGGTACGTGCATGTTTTTGCTGAACTGCCTCATCTCAGCACTTAACCTCCAATTTGCATAAGTCATTATGGCTGTCAGGACAGAGGAGACCATAAATTCTGCTAAGTGTTCATCCGTCGTTGTAAGTTTAAAAATGCCCAACCAATTTTTACATTTCTTTGACTAATGGAGACAGAAAGCACATCCATCGCTGAAACATCATTAATACATTTGATGAGCCAAGCACTTTCTGCTTAATTCATTTGGACACACAGTACCTGAGTGGTATGGAAAAATGCTTCCCACACAGGTCACATGTAAATGTCCGCGAGTATATGTTTTAAATTTATTCTGACGCTTCTCACAGAGCGCTCACTGTAGCCATTTGAATCCATTCCAGTGGGAGAACAATACTTTCTTATTGAGCACTTCCTCCTCCTGCCAGTATCAATTACAGCAAATGTTTGTTCTGCCAAATCAGAAGCAGGGGTATCTCTCGCGGTGCATCAATAAACAGAGACCAGAACAACACTGGTATCTCACAGTGAAAACAGGAAACTCAATAGAAGCGCTGCAGCCTCTTCAGGAAAACATAGATTTTTCTCCAGCAATGACAGATGCTGACGTTAAAGTGTGTGTGCGCAAGCTGGGATGCAGCTGGGATGCTGAAGCGCAGGCTGACTCATACATGCGTGTGTGTTCACAGGGCTGCCATCGATGCCACGTGACAGGAATGACTTTACATTCCTGAGTCACTGATGGCAGACAGAGCTGATGGCTAAATACAATTAAGGACAAGTTATTGGAACTTTAAGGAGACATATTTTCTCTGCTTGTGTCAGTGGAAGGATTCTCACTAGCTTTCAGCCTAAATCAAAGCCTCAACCTTCACAGAAAATACACCATGTGCACAAGTATTATGCACATGAGTGTTTTTGACCATATTTTCATTTTTATGCACATTTTCCAACTCCACTCTATAAAGTTGAAAGCTTATTGGATTTAAGAATAAGTGCATAATTATTAGGCAATTGCTGCTGTTGTTGTCCAGGTAAAATGGGCCAAAAAAGATGTTTAACTGACTGGGGAAAAGTGAAAATGGAATGCAATATTCTTGAAATTGCTAAGATGTTGGGCTGTAATCACAGACCCACCAAAAAACTCTAAAAAGGGGGGGGGGGTGCAAATTAACTGCAGAAGATTTGAGAAGAATCAAGTGTAAATCTTGCAGCTCCAATGCTGTCATAAGTAAGAACACGACCACTACTGAACAAGACACATAAGTCAAAATGTCAACACTACGCCAAGAAATATCTGGATCAGTAACGGAAATAGAGCTCCACTTCTAATGATGCCAGCAAGGTGGAGTTGGGGTCCTGGTGTTATTAACGATGAGCTAGTTGGACCTTTTCAGGTTGAAAATGAACTCAAAATGAACTCAGAAATCTACCGCCTGCTTTTAGAAAACACTTTATTCACGCAGTGATGCAAGAAGGTTATAACAATGCTCCATCGCATCCACTAGCCAGCAAAGACCTTAATTTTTTACCCCTTGAAAGTCTACTGGGAGTAACCCTTGAAGCTCCTTTCTGAATTGAGTTTGTGTCATATTTCAGGCCTGCTTACCAATTCCTGTCCTCAGAAAAACTCAAAAACTATTCTAAAGGTTGCAAAACCAGGTCTTTATTGATACCTACTGAGTTATCAGAACTCATCATTCCGGGTGCAGGAGATCATCTTTATGGGGCAAAGAGTTCAACAAATGAAAATAATCCAGGTAGTGAAATTGTTTGTCATGTAGTCGCATCGTAATTCTGCACTCTTAATTGTGCACACACAGACGTTCTCCTACAAAAGCCTAAACCTCACTTTTACTGTTATTAAATAGTCAGCTTTGACTTAAATTTACATTTTGGATTGACCAAACGCACTTTAAAAAAATTGAGCCATTCAGGGCAACTATCAGTTTTAGCTAAAGCAAACACACACTACCCATTTCCTGCATGCACACACACACACACACACACTGCATCTGAAAACGAAATCTTCCATAGGGTCAAAACTTGCGGTTTACTTTCAAAACTCCCACCGTTGTTTGAGCGTTAGTCATATTGTCTGAGGACCTTTGCCAAATGAATTGGACATACTGTCACTTGCCTAATTAAGGAACCATCCTAGCAGACCTCAGGGAGGGAGCGTGTGGGAGGTCCAGTGACTCTCCCCCTCATCATCATCATCATCATCGCTACTTGTACTTTCTGCACCGAGGAGTCGAATGTTAAGCAGGTCTTCTCAAAAATTCTCAGAGCTCATTGACATAAAGTGCATCTCCCCACTTGGCTCACTCAACACTTCCATAATAAGAGTCATTATCTTCAGCACACATCTTTCTGCTTCATTTAAGCCATTCTTAACAAGGAGCATCGATCACGGAGGTGCTACTGTTCTGCGGTCGCGCTGACCTCCAGCACTCTGATTTATTCCTGACCGTCTCCTCGGCTCCGTCTTTCACTCGCGCTGCAGGACAAAACTGCCACTGTGAGCCTTTTTAATTATCAACACATAATTTAATACTTCATCAGTCGTAGGTGGTCGCTGGACAGGGTGACATAAGCAGCCGTCAGGCTCTACGCTGGGATCATTTTTTATAAATGGAGACGAGGGCATGTTAATAGAGCAGGTAAATAAGGGCAGAGCGATTACAGTCACGTCACTTTGATTAAACTTTGTTTCTTGTTGCAATTTGTGTACCGGCATTTAATCTCTGCAGCATCAGATTGCAGCTTTGAACTCGACAGAGGCCACGCACCACGCGCGTGTGTGTATGCATATGAGTGCGAGATGAGATTGGTGACGCCGTTAGATTTAACACAGCATCATTATTTTGATTTCGTCCTCCTCTGCTTCGGTGACTTGGTGAAGCAGCGGGACGGTGAGAGATGAGAGTGAGGAGGTGCAGCCAGCTGCGCCTGGACAAACACAAGGACAGCTCCACCTTTGATGACACTGTATTAAACCAATTATTCACTATCAGGGATTGTTTCCTGCCAAAGTAAATGTTGTGTTTTGTGGTTGGAAAAAAAAAAGAAAATTAAAAAAAAATAAGTAGCGAATGAGTTGTCATCTACAGCTCAGGCAGTGGTGAAGATTGTAAACATGTTTTTCTTCCCCCCCCCCCTCCTACAAGAGGATAAATAAAGAAGACCGCTGTTAGAAGATTTAATTCTGAGAAGCCTCTCTCTGGGGTTCTGCGCTGCACTAAGAAGCCTATTGTGAAAAGTCTTCAATTAGCAGAGCAAGCCTTCATCTTCTGACCAAAGTCACCTTGAACAATCAAATTATCTTTAAATTTAAATAAAACAATCGCTCCCAATCAATCGGAGTTCATTAGCGCCATATAATTCCCATTGCCTCTCAAACGCCCCTCCTTTTCATGCACTTCAAACGTACGCGTGTAAGGTCATCTACAAACACACCTGTGGGTGCGCAGCAGAGAGAAACGCGAGACAACAAAGGTTTACTGTGAAATGTCTTTTATTTCCCGATCACACAAAGCACAGATGTGTTTGTTTTACCCACAGTTTGAGAGGTTTTAGTCGGTTTTTCGGGACTTAGAAAAGTTTGCAGTTCGCTGCCTCCAAAGCTGGCACTCTGCTGGGTGTGTGGGGGCAGACAGGCACAAACAAAGTCAGTTAGATAAATTGCTCTAGTCGGGCCTTTGCATTATCATTGAGAATCACGCCCTCTGTGCTTGAGTCTTGACACGCGGTAATGATAAATGACTGAAAATCCTCCCTCATCTCCGTGGAGTTAAATTATACAGCTGTCAATCAGCCCTTTTTTAGGATCGCATACATTAAAACCTGCATTTGAAATTTGAGACTTAAGGTAAAATGAAGAAGGCGTAGTAGTTTTGCAAAGAGCAGCCGAACTTTTATACCTGAATGATCATAAACCATTTCCCGTGTGTGTTTTGTTTAACAGCTACAGATTGCTGAGTTGTTTCCATCTACGCAGGAGCGATATCCCGTTCTCGACCCCATCGAAATCACTCCATCACAGCCAACGGAAGTAAATGCCTCTTTTTTTTTTCCAGGCAAGGACAAACGGAGGAGGCTTGTCTACACTAAAAGCATTTCCACACTGCAGGACTAATCTGCAGCACCACTGCCCTGACCAAGGTCATTTCTGTTCAAAAAGCAAAGCCAAAGATGGTGTAGTGAACCGATATCCCCGGGTCAGTGTGGTGCATTCCTTCTTGGCAGCACTGAGTTGTGTAAACTATCTCCAGGCTTCGGCACGACAATTTTATGGTTCTCTGGGTCACAGCTGAGGATGCTGTTTTTTTTATTTTTTTTTTTAAAGAAGGTTTAAGAAAGCCCCGTGAATCCTGCAAAGTGCCCTTATCTAATCATCAACTGTCAGCCCCAGATGTCCTGTAAGTAGCGCTTCTCTTCTCTAAGCCCTGCCAGTCTTTTCATGGCGTCCAGTTGGTCCACCTGCAGCTCCGTTTTAATTATTTCCACCAAGGTCTCATTCACGTCTTTAGCCATGTTTTTAGCATCCCTGCAGAAAGGAGAAAAAAAACAACAGTCATTTTAGGGAAAAGAGCAATATAATCAAGCGACAGGATTTTTATACGTCTATACGCTGCGGCAAGCAATCTTTTAGAAAACCACTGAGCACAGCCGATGCTGGAGTCTATCCTGGAAGGAAATAACTGAAATATCCATCTTGCTGTAGCAGTTGTATTGGGGGAGATTCATCATCCAACTGAGATATTTTCTGACTCTAAAAAATTCCCACACGCCTGACGTTTCAAAAGTCATCTACTCCAAGGTGGGGAAGGGCGAAACATGAGAAAAGGAATGTGGTATGTAGCTACATCATGCATTTATGAGTTGGCATGTTGGTTTTGCGCATGCAATATAAATGATAACATAATGCTCCATTTGAGTGAAGGCAACTGTTGCAAAGATGTCAGAAAAATGATTTTATGTTCTGTTTAAACAAAAAGAAAAAGGAAGACAGACAGTTATCTTTCTTATTAACAAACCACGTCTATCACTCAGAAAAAACCTCGTTGTACTTTCATGTCAAAGCAATTCAAAACTAAATTATTAGATTTTCTTGTAGGGTGCTTTATTTGATCCATCGGTGAGCTCATGATGAAGCACCCAAACATTACAGTCGCACTCAAAAGAAATATCTTCAAAGTTAAGAGGAGTAAGAAGTCCTGCGACAGATGGTATTGCTCCCTCAGCGCCCTGATCTCAGCGTCATCAACCGAGTTTGGGATTACACGAAGAGACAACATGAAACAACTGAAACCTCTTCACAGAGCATGTTCAAGGTGGGAATATTGCACCTTTATTTTGCCCGTAGCTTTCTGCATAAAAGGTACAAAGGCAGAATGGGAAGGCTTTCTTGTTGCTCCTTCAAGCCAGCAGCAGAGGCAAGTGACAGAGCCGAATCGTAGCCTGTGTAAAAGTCAGAGCCGCCGTAGCGGGAAGCCGCCGCCGCCGTGTTAGATGTAACGCCTCTCTGATTCCACAACGTTGCCATACCTTGTAGAAATCACACGTCGGGGTGGTGTGGTTTAGTCTAAACAAGCCAACGTGTCATAAACAGGGGTCTTCTTAAACGCATTAAGGCAGAATTGGTTTAAAAAGAGCTCCTGATTGTAAACCCACATTAGAATCGTGGCAAATTCTCCAGCAGGAGTGAAACAACGTACCTGCCAAACACCTGCGAGTGTTCGCCGTTTACAAGCCAAAAGGTGGTCATATAAAATACAGAGCTTCATTACTTTTTAGTGTGTACATTTTTCTGGATCACTGCATGCTGAGCGGATAAACAAAAAGGACGATTCATATGTGCTTTATGGATTTTATGCTCATTCGCTGCACACTTGCTATCGACCACTCTGAAAGCACCAGATCGAGCTGGATTGTCTTCAGTGACTCAGGAGTCCTTGGCAAAACTGACGAGAAGCCTGCACGCTAACTCAGAAAGCCTGACTCAAATCTTCTGCCTCGTGTTCTGTGTGCGCTGGCACATAGTCAGCCTAACAGAGTTACAGCCTAGATCCCAAATGCTGCCCATATTTCAAAGTTACCCAAAAATTCATTCTGCGAGAAATGATGAACTTGATTATGGTGTTATACGCCACAGTAACTACAGGAACTTTATTTGGAAGCACTGGCTTTATACACAATAAACCACATTCAGAATATATTTCACCACGACTACAACTAAAATGTAACTTAGTTTCACAAATGTGTCCGTCTGCGCACACATTTCCTTTTGGACAGAGAGGGCTTCTCACCCGCCCCCAAATATCCCAGCTGCGCATCGCTGGAAGCGGATGACATATACATCTGCTGGTTGCTGATTGGACGACAAGTGGGCCGGAATAAGTGAGGGATCGACAGCACCACAAACCACAAAAAAAACCATCAAAGATCAAAAACACTGCACGAAGAGCGCAGAGTGTGGCGTCACATTCTTTGTTACACTTTTTCACTTCAGCTCTCTGTATGTTATAACTGGCTGAAGGACCGACAACAGCAAAAGCCTTGTATTTTGTACAATGCTTGAACACTGCCTCCATCTGACAACAGTTCTCTGCAGGTAGACGGGACACCCCCGAACTGGCAGACTGTGAACCCTCGCTCTCTCCTGAACCGCCCAAACAGTCTAGCTCTCATCGAGCTTTCTCTTACATTAAAAAGTTGAAGTTTCATATGTGCAATTATCCAGTGAGCCAAAAGTTTGGCTTCACAGGATTCACACCTCCGGCTGTGAGCACAGCAGCCTCAGTGACCTTCTTACCAACCTTCTGTTTGTGTGGGTCAGCTTATCAGGAGAAAGCCAGCTTAATGGGAAAGGAGCAGAAATGTCTTGTTTCAGACACCTCCTGCACAAAGGCCTAAAATACAATATTTAAGAAACATTTTGAACTGGAAATAAGCTACTCTAATATAAAAATACAAAACTGGAAATGTGAAATTTATGAACATCAAACGTGAGCATAGAAAGGAATCTATACTGCAAGGGAAAGCAATGTGACAAAACCAGGCCTAAGTGTTAGAAAGAGGAGCTGTGAGTGAGATGCAGGCTGTGACAAACTTAATAGAAGCGCAGCCGTAACATGATAAAGCCGAACAAGGTGGACGTCAAACAAAACAAAAAACAAAGAAAAGAAAAGAACAACCATCACTCAACACGAATTAAGGCTGAAATAAGATCCAGTGTGTCACTCTTACCCGCAGACATAGAGGTAACCGTTTTGTTTGAGCAGGACGTCAGTGATGTGCTGGCTGTTAAGCAGCAGATTGTGTTGGACATATCTGGGACGTGCGGCTGAGGTGGCGGCGTCCTCGTGCTCCCCGTGGTCCCTGGAGAAACACACCATGAGGTGGCTCAGGATACCTCTGGACACAAAGCCCTCGAGTTCCTCTCTGGGACAAGACAAATTGCAAGCAGAGGTTATTAAAGTTATTCCTGTAATCTTGGACAGTCTGTTCCTCATTTTGTGATGATTAGACTTGTCAAAAGCAGTCGGGAGGCCTCAGTTTTAGCTGCTGGTGCAGAGCGAAGATCAGGCGATACGTGAATGGGAGCAACTGTGAGAGACAGCACTTTTATGTGCTTTTTACAAGAAAAAAAACCCCAATTTAATTTAACATTTTTTCATTGGCTGTTTATTCTTTCACATCCAACACTCCCGTGGGATATTTAGCAATGGTTCGCACCATCTCACAAGATCGGAACTACAAACATTTCCTATGAACCAAAAAAAAAAAAACAATACTGTCAAGCTCAACACCGAACACTGATGGACAAAAGGTCTGAGCAAAAATGTGCCAGACAACCACTTTGTCTTCTTTAACAAGAGAAGTTTGAAAAAAAAAATATGGATTTCATAAGCAAGGTCGAGTCACTGTTATAAGCATCTTTTTACAATCAATCCTCCCAGTCTGGCAGTGGGGTGTAACCTTGCTCTCTATCTGTGTTTTGCTTGCCAACTACTTCTTCTTCTGCCTCAGTGTTTTTACAGGGCCTGGGGTGCTATTGGAAGGGAAGGCAGGAGGAAGGTGGTGAGGGAGTAAGGTTTATTGTGGCTCAGAGCATCTTGTTTAAAGTTAAGCAGTCGGAATGAGCAGAAACACACACGCAGACACACGCACACAGTCATAACAGCCCCAGCTCCGAGATCAGGGGTGAAGGTCTTTGCCTCGGGGGGGGGGGGTCTGTGTTTTGCAGTAACCCCTAGACTAAAATAAGGCATTTTTTGATAACACAGAGACGCTGTGGTGTGAATACTAAAGGGAGAGGCGAGCGCTGTTGCCCTTTGTTCTATTTGAAATGTCCAGAATTGTTAGTTCTTCTGCAGCGTGTTTACCATCTAACCTTCATTTAGAGATATCATTAAATTAAAAAGAAAAAAAAATTCCTTCGAGGAAAAAATCTTTTGACCAAGATATGTGATTACAAAGTCTGTTTGAACACAGGAGCGACCAGATGAATAACAAGGAGAAGGATTGCCGAGTTTGTTTGTTTGACGTCTGAATATAAATCATCACAGATTGATAACCGTGCGAGCAGAAACCGGCAGATGATAAATGACAGTTGACTTCTTAGAAACACACAACAACCCGGGGTTTTATGAGAGCCAAAACCTGCCAGATTCCTCTGTGTGCTTCGACACGTAACAGCCTGTGGCAATTTCCCGGACCCTGACGTGAACCCAGCGGGCCTTCCAGTCGCGTTTTCCCTACAGCGTGAAATCACACGCCATAAAGAGGCTGAGGCGTCGCAGGGAGGGCGGGGGGAGAGGATAAGTGCGGCAGAGGCGAAAGGGGAGGACAGGTTTGATGTGGCATGCAGGCAGATGAGCATGAATCTCTCGCAGGGATGTTAAGTGCTGCGGCTGATTGAGGCGTGTCACGAGCCTCGTTTGTCTTCTGCATTCAGAGCACGACCGGAGGGGTTGGTCACATCCTACCTTTACATTCTTCTTAATATTTATAAGCATTAAAAGCAATATATGCTTCAGTCTAAATTTAGACCTGTGATTCTGACAGAGGCAGCTGAACTTTTCTTTTAAAATCTGGGACATTATACAAAAAAAAGGAAAAACATTACAGACTATGCTAAGAAGGTTTTTGCATTCCAGGGCAATGCCAGACATCAAATTGCACTTAATTTAAGAGAAATCCAGCAGGGATGAATGCAGGCAGTCAATTCAACTGCAGGCATGTTGTTCTCATTCTGCTAACCTATTTAAATTAAGTACAACGCTTCATGGGTGGCTCATAAAACACAGACTAATCATATTGGTCAACACTGTGGGGGTATTCATCAGAGAAGCCCACACTGTGAGCAAACACTGCCTTCTACCTGGCTGCGAGTTCGTATTTAACTATGAGATAGAGGAAACAAAAGCGAACAAACAACATCCTCTGTGATCTATCCTTGTTTGATTAAGGATGCTAATCCTTTCATGCTTTTTAATCCTGCAAAAGAACTCGATCAGCGCACCGGTGTTGAGCACACGCTCACTGCTGGTACTACCAAGAGCTGATCAATTAGTATGGCGTCAGGAGAGAGAAAAGCCAAAACAAACTAATCAGAGCAAAGATCTCCTCTGAGGCTGATGTCGGCTCAGAAATCAAGAGCGGTGGTTTAATATTTAGTACAGTTTAAATGGATCAAACTTAAGGTAACTTAAGATTGGCGTTAAAATACAACCTAGTGCCTGTGTTGAGATGTTCTCAGTGTTTCTACTACCAGTGCCTTCTGGGACCTCCCCTCCTCCAAGGGACTGCTCTCTTCCCACCCAAAAGAAAAAGAAGGTAAAAAGAAACTGAAGGCTTTTTATGTGAAACTGTTTGATTTCAGCACTGTGTCAGAGTCTGTTCTGTCATTTACAGTTGAGCTAGTAACACTCGCCTCCTCTGCTCCCTGTTACCGTGTGTGTGTCCATTTCATTGTTTGCTCCAGTCCAACTCTCCTCACACAACCAAGATAATGTTACTTGAGATGAACAAAGCTCATTACAGGGAGCGGGGGCGGCGGTCCTTCAGATCTTAATTTTTTTTAAAGAAAATAAAGGGCGAGAGAGAAGGGGGGGACACACACACAAAAAACAACCCCTTCTTCAGTTAAAAAAAACAAAAACAAAAACAGAGCCGGGCTGTGATTGAGTAGAACCATTCATTGAGTCTAAATCCATTAGCAAATATTGAATCTGTTTAGGTTTGGCTGTCGACATTTAAAGCCGCTATGGCTAACATAACTGTTGCATTTGGAGGTCTGGGCAGCAGACAAATTAAAGTCTAATACATTTACTTTATTTATCTATTTTTAGCTGTGAATCCTGCACCGTATTTGTTGTGGAAAATATTTAGTATTAAGCTATTAAATGCTTTACCACCACCACATGCTAACTTGCTAACTACATGCTTTTTAAAGCTTTTTACAGCTTTTAAGGCTGTTGAATATAAAAGTGAACCAAAACAGTCAGAATTTGATTTATAGGCTAAAACAATGAATTAAGAGAAGCTAAAAGTGATCCTAATGCTACAGACCCCCTG